ATTTTCAGGAATCCTCAAAGAAATTAAATCAAGCAATATAGCTATCGTAATCATCTTTCAACATCGACTTAATGGCATTAAAACAAACATTTTAAGCTATGATTGAATTCATTTGAAGCATGATATTCAGAGATGTCCCCGGAATCGAAATGATTTTCAAAAAAAAAACAAAATTTATTTTATAAATTATTTTCAAATATATATATTTAAAAGCAAAATTGAAATTATGAATATTCACTCAGAAAATTCCTTGAAATTTCAATCGATACATTACTTGTTAAAATCTCCAAGATCTTTACCGTAAATTTCAATGAGAAATTTTCAACTGTAACGCACGACTGTACAGCAAAAAACCTTCATATTCTCTCATTTCACTCCCCATCATTGCCCCCCCCCCTCACTACAAAAACCAGGTGTCTGATAGTGATCAGGTGTCTGTTTTAAGATGTCAGATGGTAAAAAACGTCTGAATCTTCAAAAGTGTCTGAAAATCTGACTAATGTCTGAAAATTTCAGCCACCATTTCTGTCTGAAAATGATGGTAGACATTTTTTGTGTCTGAAATTCAGTTATTTATGAGCGATCCAAACATTTCACTATTAAGATATCTCACCTGATTCAGACGGCGAAGTCCATTCAAACATTAATTTTTAAGATATTTCTCATGTCTGAAAAGTTGACTTATCCACTGCAAAAACTAGGTGTCTGACAACCATCTGAATTTAAGATGGCAGATGGCAAAAAACGTCTGAATCTTTAAAAGTGTCTGAAAATCTAACTGATGCCTGAAAATTTCAAACACCGCTTGTGTTTGAAACTGATGTCTGTATCTTAATTTCATCTTGGTGTCTGAAATTGAAATACCTCCATTGATTCAGACACATTTTAATGTATCAAAAGTGTCTACAAAATCATCCCAAAAGTGTTTGAAAAGTGTCTACAAAAATCTGTGAAATTCAGACATTAGTTTTCGCAGTACTCCCTCCCCTCAATTTTCCATAATTCTCGAGAGATCCTATCCTATGGCATTATATTCTTATAATATATTTTTACTATAGTATATTTTAGTACAGTATATTTTTTAGCGTCAGGAAAACGGAAATTCTTCATTTTACATGAATTTTCAAGTAAAAATGAACATTCACTGTCAAATTCCGTTGAATTTTCAGGGATTTCGTTTAAAATTCTTGGAATTCCACGAAAATTCAGAGGCATCAGGAATTCAAGGAGAGATTTCTTTGAATTTCCCTAATTTTTTATTAATTCTGAAATTTTCTGATTCAACGAATTTTTTGATGAAATTACGCATTTTCACTGACATAACTCCTTGAAATTTCAGTGGACATGCTAGATATTTCCAAGATCCTTACTGGAAATTTTAGTGGAAAATTTTCAACAGTAGTGCACGACTGTACAGCAAACAACCTTCATACTTTCTCATACACTCTCATTTCGCCACCCGCTCCTCATCATACTCCTCCCCCTCTTCTCCTCAATTTTACAGTAATTCCCGAAACTCCCTACCAAAACCGAAAGAAACTGCGTAACACCGTAGTCTTTATGGCATTATAATCGTATAGTATATTTTTACTATAGTATATTTTAGGATAGTATATTTTTTAGCGGTAGAAAGACAAAAATTCCACAATTTACATGAATTTTCAAGTGAAAATGAATATTCACTGTCAAATCCCCTTGAATTTTCAGAGAATTCCTTTAAAATTCTTGAAATTCCAGGAATTTCGGATGGAATTCCATAAAAATTCTGAGGAATCTAGAATTCAAGGAGAGATCTTTCTGAATTTCTCTGATTTTGATTAATTCTCCCGGAATAATGAAACTGAAATTTCAGTTGACATGTTACTTGTTAAAATCTCCAAGATCCTTCCTGGAAATTTCAGTGGAAAATTTCCAACAGTACCGCACGACAGTACAGCAAACAACCTTGATACCCTCCCATACCCACTCATTCCACCACCGCTCCCCATCACGACCCCTCCTCCCCTCAATTTTTCCATAATTCCCGAAACTTCCTACCAAAACCGAAAGAGACTGCGTACCAACGCATTCTTCATGGCATTATAGTCGTATAGTATATTTATAGTAGAGTATATTTTAGTATAGTATATTTTTTAGTAGCAGGAAGACAGAAATTTCACAATTCACATGAATTTTCAAGTGAAAATGAATATTCACTGCCAAATTCTCTTAAATTTTCTGGGAAAATTCAGAGGAATCTATTCACTGTCAAATTCCCTTGAATTTTCTGGGAATTCCTTTAAAATTTTGAAATTCCACGAAAATTCAAAGGAATCTGGAATTCAAGGAGTGATTTCTCCGAATTTCCTTAATCCTTTCTTTAATTCTTCCGGCATAATTAAACTGAAATTGCCAGATCCCAGGGATTTTTCTATGAAATTATGAATTTTTACTGATAAAACTTCTTGAAATTTCAGTGGACGTGCCTTGTTAGATATTTCCAAGCCCATCCCGAAAATTTCAGGGGAAAATTTCCAACAGTACCACACGACACTACAGCAAACAACCTTCATACCCTCCCATACCTTCTCATTCCACCCCCGCTCCCCATTACGACCCCCTCCCCCCCTCAATTTTTCCATAATTCCCGAAACTTCCTACCAAAACCGAAAGAGACTGCGTACCAACGCATTCTTCATGGCATTATAGTCGTATAGTATATTTATAGTAGAGTATATTTTAGTATAGTATATTTTTTAGTAGCAGGAAGACAGAAATTTTACAATTCACATGAATTTTCAAGTGAAAATGAATATTCACTGCCAAATTCTCTTAAATTTTCTGGGAAAATTCAGAGGAATCTATTCACTGTCAAATTCCCTTGAATTTTCTGGGAATTCCTTTAAAATTTTGAAATTCCACGAAAATTCAAAGGAATCTGGAATTCAAGGAGTGATTTCTCCGAATTTCCTTAATCCTTTCTTTAATTCTTCCGGCATAATTAAACTGAAATTGCCAGATCCCAGGGATTTTTCTATGAAATTATGAATTTTTACTGATAAAACTTCTTGAAATTTCAGTGGACGTTACTTGTTAGATATTTCCAAGCCCTTCCCGAAAATTTCAGTGGAAAATTTCCAACAGTACCGCACGACAGTACAACAAACAACCTTGATACCCTCCCATACCCACTCATTCCACCACCGCTCCCCATCACGACCCCCTCCCCCCCTCAATTTTTCCATAATTCCCGAAACTTCCTACCAAAACCGAAAGAGACTGCGTACCAACGTATTCTTCATGGCATTATAGTCGAATGTAGCATCCACGGATGGGTCGATAACGCGCGCAGCTCTGGTACAGCGTTCTCCCCTCCCCAGTTCAACTGCACGTCCCTCCCTGAATCCCGAAATTTAATCCCCATTTCCTCGCTCCCTCAAAAAAAAAAATCCCCCAGTCCTGATCCCCCCCAAAATCCGAAAGAAAAACATTCATCATGGAAAATGATTCCGCCCTATTTCCGGAAAAACCCTCGCAAGAATAGAATCAGTGATTGAATTAACAGGTTGCTGTGTACCAATATGCCATCCCAATTTGACGTTAACGCGCTCAGTGTTCAGCACAAACTTACCAATGAAAATTCCGTATTCTTTATTCTCCGTCTCTCCCCTCCCCCCGCTCTTTTCCGCCGCCTAACGTCTTCAGTGTTGGAGAAATATCAGTAGTACTTACTTGAAAATACCTCGTAACGTTAGACATAAACGAAGAAAATCATTTGTGTATGTACGCCCTGAAGACGCTTGCGCGTGGAGGGTTGATGCTGTGTGGCGCTGGCGCTCTAACTGTCTTGCTCACTCGTGTTCACTCGGTCGTCGGTGTTATACCAAACGGTCCATGCCACCGGCCTTGACGCACCGTGCGCGCATCGCCGGCGTCGATCGCGTGGTGTGGCATTGCCAAAAAAGGGATTACAACTGAAAATAAATAAACATCAACGTAAACAACATTATTCCCAAGTAAATCGCAAACGTGACATGTTCTTCGACAATTACACTTGTTTATTATTTTTCGTCGCTCGTTTACTCGGCATTCGGTGGTGCGCAGCAGTGTTACACGCATAGCTTTCATTTTTATTTTTTTCTTCACGGCATCTTCAAAATATAGCGAAACACGATCGTGTGAATTGTTGAATTGATGAGTTTGTGACAGTGACAGTCGTAGGGTCGACAGTATTGAATACATTTGAAATGTGTGGATTACGTATACAATGTGGTAATTCGTTGGAGTAATTAATCCGTGTTGTGACGATCAATCACTCGAGTGTGTCTGTCCACTGAATCGATCGTAGTGTGGATTTTTCTTCTGTCATTGGGGAAATTGGTGGTTCATTCGCTGGGGGGAGATGAGAGAGGAATTTATGGCGTGAGACTCTTGAACTGTTTTGTTGTTACTCCCGTGCAAAAGGAGAGGGATTATACCATGGAAAATAGATAAACGCCTGAGTGATGTTGAAAACGCGCTCTTGAAGCGTGTTGCTTGTCCCCTCAATGGGTATGCCAGACACTCTGCATGGGTTTCTGTGATGACTTTGGAACTCCCCCTCTTCCGCCCCAAAGCACTCAGCTTGTTTCGTTGATGATGGAGTGAAGGAGCAAGGAAATCGATGAGTGGGGGATTTGCCGATGAGATAATACCGAAAATAGTGGCAAATATCAAAATTGGGGGAGAGTTATCGCCATTTACTGCAGAAACAGTGACTTTTTTTTCGTGTCGTTGATGCCAACGCGAGGATTTCCTGGTGATGCACTTGATTGTGACGCGGGAGTTGATGAAGGAAGTGTATAATAGGAAAATGACTCGTGTGTGAATTAAACATATCAAAGTATTTGACGATTGTTAAGGGTTATCCTGAGGTGCTTTGTTGACATCGATGATCTCGCGTTTGGTTACTGGAGAGTAGTCGACGCATTGTTTTCCTGATTTTACGTTTGTGTTGTTGCTCGTCGGATTGTGTTATTAAACGCTTGGAAAAATTAATTCTCCACGGGAAAATGAAGAGATCCTCTTCTTTCTTCATCTTAAGGTGAGTTGATGCCCTTTTTTGCTTTCTTCATTATGATTTTTTTATGACAGCCATTCGTGGAGCGGTGGCATTGTCCATCTCCGGTGTTGAGAGAAGTTTGATGGGGGAAAACTTGTAGCTTATAATGAGTACAAGTTCATCTCGTTATGAGAACGACGAAATAGAAACTGGGAGATCTGAGTGTTCATTCTTCAGAGTCTCTTTTCTTTTTTCTTCGGGACAATTAAAGGAAAGTTCGCTTGTGTTGTGTCGTTTTGGATTGGAAGAGGGGAGAACTTTTTTTCGTGAAATTAATCTGTCTTCTGGGAGATGGTTTGATGATCAGTTGTTTGGGTTCGGTAGGTGAACCTTGCAGTTCTCTTATGGAACGGTAGGTTCGGAATGTTCTGTAGGGTAAGCTAAGTAGATGGACACTGCCCTTGACATGGACGAGCTACTTTCGGATAGGAAATTACGCGAAAAAATACTGAAATGTGAATTGTTGCTTTGAATTTTCACTAACTGTTGTGAATCTCAACCGCTGAGTGACGATTTTTTTTCGATAATTTTTTTTTTCAATTGCTAAAAAACAAACGTCCATTGGGCAGTTTACCCTACTGGGGTTTGTTGATAATTTAGTGGTAGTTTCATCGTTGATAGCTCTGGGGGGAGTGAGATTTATAATAAACAAATGACTTATCAAATGATGAATTTGTAAATATGAAGTAGTTTATTCGGCCTAGAATGATGTGCACGGTTGACTAATTATTCTTGAAATTTCAAGTAAAAAATGAGGGGATTTTTTACGGTTGATTCACATGAAATTTCTATTTTACTACTGCTGAATCAGTTTACTCTACGAATATTTGATGAAATTAATAAAAATCATTAAAAATTGTGGAATTCATTCAAAAAAATTGCACTTATCCTAGTTTACCACTTCACTGCAGAATTTTTAATGTAGTACAGGAAATTAAAACGATCGTTGGAATATGAATACTCTCTTAATATGAGAAACTTAATTTTTTTTTAATTTGTAAGATGAATGAAGAATTTCAGTAGCGAACTGGTAAAGCGGTTTAAGTCAATTTTGACTACTGGCCAGTTTTCAGTGAATATCTTGGAATCTAAGAGAGATAGCAAAATTTTTGTTATAACCTTTTTTGTAGAGCCGATTGAAGCCTATAAATAATATAATTACGAAAATTTCGCTATCTCCCTTAGATTCGGAAATATTCCTCAAAAACTGAACTGGGAGATAAGTCGACTTAAACCGTTTTACCACTTCGCTACTGATTTGTTCTTCTTAAATCTTTCTTTTTTCCTCCGTACAATTAAAAGAAAATTTCTCTTGTGTTGTTGGTCTAGATTGGAAGAGGGGGAGAACTTTTTTCTTAAAATTAATTTAATGATAAGTTGTTTGGCTTCGTGAGGATAACCTTGCACTTTTATGGAACGTTAGATTCATGAAAGAGGAATGGTGTAATGAATGTTCTGCACTGGGGTTTGTTGACAATGTAGTGAAAGTTTCATCTTTGATAGCTCTGGGGCTATTTTTTGAATGGAGACAGGTGGAGTGAGATTTATAATGAATAAATGACTTATCAAATGTTGAATATATAAATATGAAGTAGTTTATTCTGCTCAGAATGTGTACTGTTGAGTAATTACTCTCGAAATGTCAAGGAAAAAATCTAGAAATTCATTACAACGATTAATTCACATGAATTTTCTATATTTTGTTACTGACAAATCAATTTATTTCTGCAATATTAAAATAAATTGATAAAAATCTTTAAAAATTGTGAAAATTCAAGCAATTGTTGCACTGAATTGTCAATATAATGTAGGACATTAAAGCGGTCGTTGGAATATTAATAGTCTCCTCATGTGAAATACTCAATTGCTTTGAATTTGTAAGATGATTAACGAATTTGTTCTTCTTAAGTCTCTTTTCTTTTTTCTTCGCTACAATTAAAAGAAAAGTTCTCTTGTGTTATCGTTTTGGATTGGAAGAGGGAGAGAACTTTTTTCTTGAAATTAATCTGTATTTTTGTATACAATACAAAAACATTTGTATTCTTGTGGATGTTTCGATGATGAATTGTTTGGTTTCGTGAGGGGAACCTTGCACTTTTTTTATGGAACGGCAGGTTAGGAATGTTCTGTACTAGGGTTTGTTGACAATTTAGTAGTAGTTCCATTTTTGACAGCTCCGGAGCTATTTTTTAAATGGAGACAGGTAGAGTGGGATTTATAATAAACAAATGACTTATCAAATATTGAATTTATAAATATAAAGTAGTTTATTCTGCTCAGAATGCGTACTGTTGAGTAATTACTCTCGAAATGTCAAGGAAAAAATCTAGAAATTCGTTACAACGATTAATTCACATGAATTTTCTATATTTTGTTACCGACAAATCAATTTATTCCTACGATATTAAAATAAATTAATAAAAATCATTAAAAATTGTGAAAATTCAAGCAACTATTGTTCTGAATTTCCAATCTTATATAGGAAATTAAAACGGTCGTTGGAATATTAATACTCCCCTCATGTGAAATACTCAATTGTTTTGAATTTGTAAGATGATTAACGAATTTGTTCTTCTTAAATCCCTTTTCCTTTTTCTTCCGTACAATTAAAAGAAAATTTCTCTTGTGTTGTTGGTCTGGATTGAAAGAGGGGGGAACTTTTTTCTTGAAATTAATCTAATGATAAGTTGTTTGGTTTCGTGAGGATAACCTTGCACTTCTTTTACGGAACGTTAGTTTCATGAAAGCGGGATGGTGTTCTGAATGTTCTGTACTGGGATTTGTTGACAAGTTAGTGATAGTTTCATCTTTGATAGCTCTGGGGCTATTTTTTCAATGTAGACAGGCGGAGTGAGATTTATAACAAAAAAGTGACTCATCAAATGTTGAATTTATAAATATTAAATTGTTCATTCTTTCCAGAATGACGTGTACTGTAGAGTAATTACACGGACGAAAAAATTTAATAGAAAAACCTATCGAATTCGTTAGAAAATTCTATTGAATTTTTATTGAACTGTTCTATTAGTTTTTGGCCGATTCTATTGAAATGTTCAATAGAAAATATTCAGTAGAAAAAGTCAATAGAATTCAATTTTTCTATATAACTTATTCTATTGAGATATTTTCTATAGAATTTCCTCGGCTCAAATTTTCTAAATTTTTTCGTTTGATTTTCTTGATGAGAAGAAAAGAAAAATAGAATGAAAAAAACTTAGAAAATTTGAGTCGAGCAAATTCAATACAAAATATATGAAAAGAATAAGTTATATAGAAAAATCGAATTCTCTTGACTTTTTCTATTAAATGTTTTCTATTGAACATGTCAATAGAATCCGCCAAGAACTAATAGAAAGTTTAATAGAAATTCAATAGAATTTTCTGACGAATTCGATAGGTTTCGATAGATTTTCTATTAAATTTTTTCGTCCGTGTACTCTTTAAATGTCAAGTAAAAAATCAGGAAATTTTGATAACCATGAATACAATTCAGTAGTGAAGTGGTAAACCGGTATAAGTCGATTTTGACTATTGCCCAGTTTTCAATGAATATCTGAAAATCTAAGGGAAATAGCAAAATTTTTGTCATAACCTTTTGTGTAGAGCAAATGGAGAGCTACAAAAAAGGAAATACAACAATTTCGCTATTTCCCTTAGATTCCGAGATATTTATTAAAAACTGGCTAATAGTCGAAATCGACTTATACCCGTTTACCACTTCGGTACTGAATTCGAACTTTCAAGTCTATAAAATAATGAAAATCGTTAAAAATTGTGAAAATGCATGGAATTATTGTTCTGGATTTTCAGTGCGAAGAAAATCCAAGCGGTTTTTGGGAAATAAATAATCTCCTAACATGAAAAACTAATTTTCTTTGAATTTCCGAAATAAATAAAGAATTTGTTCTTCTTAAGTCTCTTTTCTTTTTTCTTCTGTACAATTAAAGGGAAAGTTCCCTCGTCTTGTGTCGTTTTGGATTGGAAGAGGGGGAGAACTTTTTTCTTGAAATTAATCTGCTTTCTTGTAGATGTTTCGATGATGAGTTATTTGGCTTCGGGAGGAGAATCTTGCACTTTTATGGATTATCAAGTTCCTGATGTTTTGAATATTTTGTACAGGGTTTTGTTGAGGATTTAGTGGTAGTTCCATCTTTAATCGTAAGAAAACGAAGAAAAAACCATATGCTTCTGCCGTCATGCCGATATCGAAATGGAGCGAAATTTATAACATAAAAATGACTCATCAAATGTTGAATTTATCTGAAATGGTTTATTTTTTCTAGAATGATGATGTGCACTTTAGGGTAATTACTCGTGAAGTTCTAAGATAAATAAAGAATTTGTTCTGCTCAACTATTTTTTCTTTTTTCTTGGGTACAATTAAATGGAAAGTTCTCTCATATTGTGTCGTTTTGGATTCGAAGGGGGGGAGAACTTTTTTCTTGAAATTAATCTGTCTTGTTGTAAATGTTTCGATGATGACTTGTTTGGTTTCGTGAGAACCTTGCACTTTTATGGAACATTAGGCTCATGATATTCTGAATGGTTTGTCCTGGGTTTTGTTAACAATTTGATGGTAGTTTCATCTTTAACAATGAGAAAATGAGTTGAAAACAAAGGAAAACAAATGTCTACGGTAATGGCGACATCGAAAGCTCTGGCGCGATTTTTTGGATGTCGGCAGGCGGAACGAGATTTATGTAACGTGAAAAGGTAGTGCCTATTAACACGCTCCACGGTAACTTTGACCGTGGATATACGGGACGTTTTTCCGTGGATTCAAGGTAATTTCTACCGTGGATACATGGGAGATCGTGGACCCTCAACTTGTACTTCTCAAATTAAATCTAGACAATAAACTAGACACATCGAATCAATTGATAAGTGATATGCAGATAGTTGACTAGTAAATAATTTTCTCAAAATATTAATTCTTTGAATACGAACATCAGTCTAGATTAACGCAAATAACAAATGAAATA